TACTTCTGCTTATTCATAGAAAAAAAAAAAATCGCAGTTCATTTTATGTAAATGTCGCCCCTCTGCCCCTCCGACGGTTGTCCCTTTTCCATGGAAAGGGTTGTGCGAATGGTGTGGAGCGTGTTAAACTCCTCTGGAAGAGTTGGCTGTGCATTGAACAATCTCGGCTATTTCCTTTACCTCGACTTTACTGTATTTGTGCGCAATTGTCAGCTACAGAAAGGCCATTGGGGAGAGCGGGGGAGTTCTCTCTCTCTCTTTTTTTTTTTCATTTTTTAATGGATGAGTGAAAGTGATTTGTCTTTTGTTTCTTGCCCCCTTTTTTCTCTGTTAACATTGCGTTCACAAAAGAGGGCATATGATCGTTTGAGCCTGAAAGAAAAATACTCGGTAGTGTTGAAGCACTGCATTTATTATTTTTATATTAATTATATATGTACATTTTAATGAAAGTGTTACTATTCCAGACACTATGCATACCTGCCTTTGCTAGGATATTAATAATAAAACCCAAAGAAACCCAAACGAGTTTACTCATACAACTAATTAAAAAAAAAAGTAAAAGAAATTCCACTGTCAAATAGAAAAAAAACCCCAACACCCAAACCCAAAAAACTGCTGAAGTGTCTTCTTTGAAGTGAAAGGACATCACAGCTTATTTTTACCTTGTGTTTCCTTATGTATTGATATCCAAGAATAACTACTGTATACATTTGTTTAACTCCTGAATAGTTCTTCGTGCTGACATCAGACTAGCTTGGCATTACTGTTTCGAAATTAGATGTCACTGATTCTTAAAATATCTTAGAACAATGTAATGAAATTGTGTGATTTTAATAACTTAAAGATTAATACAATGTCTGTGAGGAGAGAGTGTTTTGTTAAGTGTCTGTTAATAAGGAAGGTGCCTGCTAGTACATAAGCAGGGATATTTAAATTGTTTTATATATACTTTTTTATGTCTGTATATGTAAGGAACTGTATGAAGAGCTTTTATGATGCAGACACAGCATTTAAATTGCTTTAATGCAGTGATTAAATTCCACATTTCAACTTGATTTTTTTAGCTGATCTTAGTTTTTCTAAAGTTTCCTAATGTCTTAAAGATTTCAAAATATTTTTATTTGAATATTTTCTTAATAAGAATCACAAGTTGTTTTCAGAGTTTCCATTTGCTATTTACTTCTTTATACCTTTAATCCTAAAGGTATGTGCAAAATAAAAATTACTTTCCTTTTTGCTAGACTTTCATCCTGAAAGAATAAATGTGCTTAAAAGGGTGAATACATTTATTTGCATTTCTCTGTTTCTTTGTTTAATTGGCTGTGTGATTTTTGGATTACAATTTTAAACATCTGGATAGAAACTAGGCAAGATTTATATATATATATACACACAAACATATATATATAATCTGAAGTCAGGATTTAATTGCTTGGTGCTAAGGAAAATCTTTGTACCTCCATATGATTCTTTTTATGAAAAGGTCTGGTTATCTACTACTCATTTGAATTTTGAGGAGGACCCTATTTTGTAACTGGTTATATGGGAGTGGACTGTTGTGATACACAACATTTTATTTATGTCATATCTAATTACTGAAGCTAGATTTAATTAGTTTGTTGAGAATGTACGTTGAAGATGCAAAGTGATATGTAAGTGCAAGTGTCGTCATGTGGTTTTAATAAGACACTTGCCCCTTTAATGTTAAGCATCACCACAGCTCTACTGAACTGAGTGTTGATGGATTGAACCTTAATACTTAGAGGCCTGGGACCTAAATTGGCCAAGAGTGCTACTGGAGGGAGTGCACAGCGAAGCTGTATTTTGTCTTTCCACTGCTAAAGTAATAGTGTAGGTGAACTCTTCTAGTCAAAGGGAACTCTTGCTGTTAACATCAGTGCTGCTGTGATTTTAGGAAAGCAACCACAAGCCACAGACAGATCCAGGAGCAGTAGTCACATCTTGTTTCCATCTTGAAACTTTACATGCTATGCTGCATAGTACCTGAATTTTTAGCTGAAGAGTGCTTTCTGTGCTGTTTCAATGGCTTGTCTTAACAAACAAACCAGAGGCAGCTTCATTGTCTGTAGTTATTATTCAAAATACCATGTAATTATTATTTTTTTTTCCTGATTTCTTAATTTGTTTTCTAGGTACTGAGTTTGTGCTGCGAAGCTTGCAAGAAAGTAGTTTTTCGTGTTCCTTCTGAGCTAGAGGCTGACACGTTAGTTGGCAGAGGTGAGAAACTGCGAGATGCCTATCCTAACAATACAACATTTGCTGGAGATGCTGTTAACAGCGAAGGAGACTTTTTTTTTTTTTTTAAATGGAATGAATGGATGACTGGACAGCCAGTTAAACAGCTGGATCAGCCTTTTTATGAAGGATACGCCCTATGTTTATTACGGATTTGAACACTGTCTCCGTGCGTCCATTTGACTTTTGCGCAAACGGCTATGGTCAGCTTTCGGTATTTGTTTTAAAACTAGAATGGCAGAGTCTAGTGTTTTCAAAATGTGGAGTCTAGGGCTTAGTATTTAAATAAGTGGCTTAATATTCCAAAGTGCACCCATAACCCAGAGAGTCATATGAAGAAGTCAGTAAGTCATTTGGATAATGGAAAAGAGAAAAAAAAGAAGACAGAACCCACACAAGCAAGCACACAGAAGCTGCTGCTTTCTGAAACGTGGCTGTGACTTCTCAGCAGTGCTGAGGCATTCAGGGCACGCACGGGGACAAGTTGCAAAGGTGTCCTGCGTGCACGTTTGGTTGGGAGAGCACTCCTGTCTGACTGGATGGTCTGTCTCGGTTTAGGGCAGTATGCCAGTGACTGAGAGAAATAGGGGACACCAGAAAACATCCCACTCCTTTTTTTCAGACCAGTCTTTGAAAGGTGTGGCATAGGAGCTGCTACAGGGTTCTGTGCTGCCCGAGACTGAATTTGAGGATTCAGAGGTGCCCTGTGTGAGTCCTAAGACAACAGAGAAGGACGCTTCAAGTCTGTGATCCTAATCCACTTTCCTACAGAAGGAACAAATAAAGTGGATTGGTAGTTCTTTACAAGTGCTCAGAAAATCTAGCTTTAAAAATGAAAGTTCATTACTGTTAAATTTTAGTTTACTACTGCTGTTTAAGTATTCAGCATGTTCTCAGACTTCAGCATTTCTCTGTGTAAATAAACTTGATTTATATAAACCCAAAACTTCATGTTACTACAATGCTGTGAAAGAAATTGTGTAACATTGACCTTAAAACTTTTTTTTTCCAAACATTTAACAAAACCTTTATAGCTTGAATGACATTACTTAAACATTTATTGAGAAAGCATAATATATTTTGCATTGATACAAGGATCATACCTTGACAGTAAAATGAGTCAGAATTTTCCTGGTGGTTGTAAGGTTTTTTATATTTCTGATTTATGCAATGTATATGAGAGGCTATCAAAAAAAAAAAGGATCCCACAAAGCTATAGCTAACTGAGCATAATGTCGACTTACATAACCATCAGAAACAAAATCCCTAGTCTGGTGTCTTTGAAAAATGCAATGCTGTAATATGCAGCAGTATGAGACACCTTTAAACAAGACAATGATTCTCTCTTCAATACTGAATTTTCATTGTACATATTGACAAGGGAGAGGAGTCACTGCTGCAGTACTATAGAAAGTCTAGGAAATAGACTGAGCAGTTAAATAATAATTAATAATTGAGCAGTTAAAGACCTCAGAAAAGGAAGGAATCACGTCATATTTAAAATTATACTTCTCATCTGTTCTTGCATTCTTGAAAGAGAAATGAAATTTAGTTTATTGAAAATATCATCTACATATATGGGGTAAAATTCTGAATCTACTCTACTTGGGGAATTTTGCAATCAGCTTTCATAGAGCAAGGCCTCATCCACTATGATATCATTGAAGGAGTTCTGAAAAGTTTTGATTTTGAGAACATGACACTGACACCTCTTGTACACTGCAAGGGTCATTTGTCTAGAGTTTAGGTCCCTGGCCTTCGTCTCTTTCACGATGCCAAATCATTCTTGCTTAGTGCTGTGGTCCTATTGCAGTTCTTTATGATTATCCTGGTTTTGTTTTTTCTCCAGCTGTAGTGCTGAATTACTCATTGATGAACCAAGTTTAGAGAAGTGCATTAAAGTTTACTTAAGCCACAAGTGATAGCAAATGCAGTGAAAAAATACCTGAGAAGTATGCTGAACTTACCTGGTACTTCTATAAACTGCATGACATTCTGTCTTGTTCATATTAAAAAAATGCCCATCATTTGTTCCAGAGTTAGTCTTTATCTCTCCCATCTGTCTGCCTCATAATTTAAAGGCCTTTGTCCTCCCAAGACTATTAAATCACATAGGACCAGTCACTGCTTTCTTCCGGAGGGCAAAATTTCCAAGATGTAGTATTTCCATTGGGCATTTGCATTAATCATCACTGATTCTGTGGGACACAGAGCACAAGGCAAATGTAATAGCTACTGATCCAATAATGAATGTGTCTGCAATGTTTTTTTTGCATTTGAATGTATTAGTTCATCTGTGATGCTTCATAATTTTACCAGTGTAATAGTGTCTTGAAAGATATCCATGAAGCACCCATGTCCTTTAGGAAACACTTATAAATGCAAGAGTGGTAATTCATGTAGACTCGGTCAAATCTGAGTGCATAAAAGGATTCTAGAATCTCTTTGTGATGCTGAAATACTGAATGACCAAGTTTTTGAAGACTCCCGTGTACCAGTAAATACAGTTTATAATTAGGGAACGTGTTCTTGTTTGATGAAGGTTGTTATTGTTTCACTGTTTGAGTATTGTCTGAATGTTTTTTCTTACAGTTGATTTGAAAGAATGCCTTCAGTCTGCAGAATTTATCAGTTCCAGTGATGGGAACTTCAAAATTTTAGAGGATGGTTCTGTGTACACAACATCTGCTGTTTCTTTGTCTGCTGAGAAAAAAACTTTTACCATATTACTTAAAGACATTCAAGAACATGTACAAAAAAAAATACATGTTAGCTTGGTGGAAGAAGAAAAAAAGGTGAGCTGCTAATTTCAAGATAGCTTACTTATTTGAAATGCTGTTTCACAGAGTACGACTTCGTACTGGGTAACTATAGTTGAATTTTGGAATTCAAATAATCAGGGAAAGCACTCTGGTGTCGAGTATATTTTTGTTCAGTGATTGTTGATTACTGTGTCGCCTAAGTCAGAAGACTTCCTTTCTGAAATGGGAGATGCTAGCAAGGAGCTTAATGAAGGATGTCAAGAATCTTAAAAGCCATGTTTGAGGAATCAAAGCAGATTTTATTTGTGGAAAGTGTTACAATGAATGAAAAAACTCTTGGAATACTGTCACAGGCATAATCAGAAATGAAGACCTTGGAAAAACAAATGGTCAGTGGAAAAACTGGAGCAGAGGGAAAAAAGTTGAAAGATGCAGAGCAGTAGTTAAACAAAAACATATACAGTTAAGAATATATGAATACATTCTTACCTGTCTTTTTATCTTCTAGACCCAGACACAGAAGACCAGGCATGCTAGAGATACGGTTCTCAAGCGAACCAAAAGAAGGTGGGGCCCTATCCCATCTGTTATGATAGAGAACTCACTGGGACCTTTTCCACTACAAATTCAGCAGGTATATTTTATACAGATCCTAATTTTATGACACAAGCTAGTTTTGTATGTAACTTTCATGAAAAAAGAAAAAAGTGAGCTCTCTTGATGCCATTCCTGAATGCTGTTATTCCTCTGTCTTGTTCTGTCCTGTTCATTGTGTATCTTGTGATCTTTTAGCTGAGATAACTTGCAATCATAGTTGTTGGGGTGAACTGAAAACACGCAAAAGTTGTAAAAAGTAGAGAGGTGTACTATCAGAAGAGAGCTCTTTGGCCTGTAAATCAGTGATGGGTGTAAATAAAAAAAAAAACAGCAAACAACTCCCCCATGAAACGTTGCCTAGAAAAAGGTTTTGTAGACGCAGAGTGGGGAAAATCATAGAATCATAGAATCGTCTGGTTGGAAGAGACCTTCAAGATCATCGAGTCCAACCATTCGCCCTGCACTGGCAGGGTCCCTAAACCATATTGGTCAACACCAAATCTACACGGTCTTTAAACACCTCCAGGGATGGGGACTCCACCACCTCCCTGGGCAGCCTATTCCAATACTTCACAACACTCTCTGTAAAGAAATTTTTCCTGATATCTAACCTAAATTTCCCCTGGTGCAACTTGGGGCCATTCCCTCTCATCCTGTCATTCATAACGTGGAAGAAGGGACCGACCCCCATCTCCCTACAACTTCCTTTCAGGTAATTGTAGAGCGATAAGGTCCCCCCTGAGCCTCCTCTTCTCCAGACTAAACAGTCCCAGCTCCCTCAGCCACTCCTCACAGGCCAAGTAAAATCTTACCTGCATGTAAGGGTCATGCAGGTAAGGAGGAGGGCCAGTTGTGATAGGACAAGGGGTAATGGTTTTAAAATAGAGGGAGGGGGAT